GCACGCACACACACACACACACACACACACACACACACACACACACACACACACACACACACACGTAAAAAACATGTGAAGTGTATCTCCTTGTACACGCAAAGAGTCCAACAAGAATGTTAGACTTCCAAGACAAAGTTCTATTTACATAGAGCCAAGAATGACGATGTGGCAGCGCTTCAAACTGGATCTTCTTCATAATTGATACAGCAGAGAACAGGGGCAGAGTGAGGGCAACCTGAAGGTTTCACCTCCCTAATCACCTTATGTCAGCTTCGTCTTATGGAAGGGCTCCGCAGCACACACCCATACCTACCTAACAAGCCAACAGCACCTTACCTTATTGAAGGACAATGCGAAGGACACACAGTATGCAGGCCATGTCTGCAATAGACAAACTTCATTGACTCGCTGCACGCCTCCCAGGCTAAACTTATCTTGTCCTCCTCATGGGCTGCCGCCTGCTCAGAGTCGTTCCCTCCATCCGTCGCGCATCCCTCTCCCTCAATCCCTGGCACTTCCCTCCCTCTCTATGGGCTTGACATTTTCCTGTCATAACCGGTCGTTCTCACAAACACGACTGTGCTCAATACGTACATTAACTAATCTCCACCGCCTTTAAACATGTTGGGAAAATCACCGCTGCCCATCTGTTTCATCAGATTTTGAATGCCTCCCAAGCCTCCCATTTTCCTCAGCATCTCAGGCGGGAGAATGCGGCTCATCTGTTGACAGTTCATGTTGCGCGAAAGGCTGCTCATGTCCCCCTTCTTGGGTATTTTTAGCCCTTTCATCTTGCTCCATATCTTCGCAAGTCGTTTGTACTCTTCCAGCATTTCTTGCACATCCCTCAGGCTCCTCCCCGACCCTCTCGCTACTCTCAGGATGCGGCTCGGGTCTGTCAAAGTCTTCACATTGCTCGTGTCCAGCTCTGCACCCACGTCACACGATGGCCGCCTTTTTCGTTAGCAATCGACTGCACAAATGGCCCCCCGTTAGCAATCGACTGCACAAATGGCCCCCCTAAAAGCATTCTGAGAAGGAACCAATCAACACACCATGCTATGCAATATTCCGGCACGCTTCTCCCCGATCGTCATGTAGAAGCACCCACCGTTGGATATGTTATCTTATAGAGGAAATTGTCTTAAAAGCTGGGCTACCAGCCCGTCCGCCCGGGTCACTCTGTTTTCCCGGACGGCCCGGCCGTGCAAGGACCAGGGAAGGTCCTAGCAAAAAAAAAAAAAAAAAAAAAAAAA